CTGTGCATGCGCGAGCCCTCAGGGGGGAGGAGGAGGGGATGAGGGGGGAGGACCAGAGTACGGTCGGACTGAGGTATAAGATTGAGGTCGGCTCGGATGTTCTTCCTGCTTGTTGGATCTCGTGCACCCTGGGGGAGGGCGCCCTCGGGTAGTCCCGTGGTCTGGGGTGTTTTGGCTGGCGGAGGGTCTCGTGTTCTTGAAGGATTTTTTTGTTGTCCTGGGTACGACCGTAAATCCAGGGTGCGCGACCGATGCTGCAATACACCATCCCGGTCATCAGGCCCTGCAAGCATTCTTGCTTACGGCGGGGAGCCCCTTTTTTTTCAAAGTCGAGAGCCCCAGGGGCCTGCCCGTCAAGCTCTCAGAAGTGCGACGGGGTAGGTTCACGAATTCGACGGACATGTCACATTAAAGTCGAGCTTTTTACGGATCGCGCCATTTATGCATCTCAGAGTTCGGGCAACATTGGAAGTCCCAAGCAAGGGCCTCATTCTGAGAAGGAACCGCGCACCTTCATGACGTTGTTGAGACACGAGAGCCGTCTGTTCGCAGAGTTGAGTAAGTAGCCATCGTTCGCCCCATGATGGTAAAATCAACGCCTTCCATTTTGCAGCCGGTGGGAACTTAGGACGAGTGCGCTGCGCTATTTCGATGACCGCATTCAGCAAAGAAGGCGCGGGGCACACATACGTACTTGCCGAATTCCGGCGCGAGCCCCATAGAGGCACATTCAGAAATGTCCTGCCTCCCATCTTCGCAGCTCTAGGAAAGTAAAGGCGGATGTGAGCGGCGCTGGAAATGAAAGCTGCTCGCCCTCCATCTCACGCTCCAGAATCGTAGACGTCGCGAAGCCTCAGGCGAACCACCTCGCCCTCCTTACGGACACGTCTGGTGGTGCGATGAGGTTCATGTGTGTTGTCGCTCGCAGAATGTAGAAGGACGAGGGCGGAGGAGGATGAGGAGGCAGGAGGCAGTATAGAAGATGAATGACCATAATTCAGGAGGGAGGAGTGGGACGAGGAACATGTTAACGAGACAGGTAGGAGGAGGAATAACAAGGGAGAGGAGGAGGAGAAGGAAGGACGAGCGAACCAGAGAACGGACCCAGAGATCCGACATCCGACATCTCGATTTGTTTGGCAACGTGGGCCTCTGCAGATGTGAGCCCCTTCCCAGGGACCAGCTCTGCATCTCGAGCAGACTTTGTGATGCTCGGGCGGGTGGTACTGTCAACCCGCATAGCAAGGATGCGCGACTTTCCAAGGTTACCCCTGCATCCTTCCCCTTCGGCCTCATCCTTGGTCACTTACGCTGGCCGCGCCCCGCTCGCAAAGTGTCGACATGGCCTTCCAAGGCCCTTGCATTCTTATCGTGCGTCCTTATCCTATGGGTTTGGTGTACTGGAGGGTGGCCCTAATGCAGGGTGGCGAGCTGGCCCCTCAACGGGGCGCCCTCGGGCCCCTTTTGGGCCCCCGCTGGCTCCAAAAGGGCTCCTTCCAGGGCCCCTTCGAGGGCCTCTTCCCCCCCCCCCCTGGTGCAGGTCTCCCCCCCCCCCCCCGTGCAGGTCTCCCCCCGCCCCCGCCCCCCCGGTGCAGGTCTCCCCCGTTGCCACCCGCCCGAGGTGGTGGTGCTTCCGCGGCGCGAGGCTGCCTGGCGAGCCTTCGGTCGGGGGCAACGGGGCAACGAGTAGGGGGAGAGACGGGCACACGGCATCGACCCCCGGCCGCCCATGGATCGCCAAGAGGGGGCCCGAGGAGGAGGAGGAGGAGGACGAGGAGGAGGAGGGGGAGGAGGAGGGGGAGGAGGAGGAGGAGGAGGAGGAGGAGGAGGAGGAGGAGGAGGAGGAGGAGGAGGAGGAGGAGGAGGGGGGGGGGAGGGGGGAGGAGGGGCCCCAAGCTGCCCAGGATCGTGCAGCTTCGCCCTCGAGGGGCCTGTGGCCGATTCGATCGGCGATGCGTCACCGAGTCCAGGTCGATGTGACCCCCCCCACCGCCCCTCTGCCAGTTCCCCCCCTTATCGTTGCCCCTGAGTGGTAGTGGGGGGTGGCCTGAGTGGGAATTGAAGAAAAGGGCCCCGAAGGGGGCCCTTTGGGGCCCCCCCCCGGGGCCCGTGCTGGCTCCAAAAGGGGTCTTGGTAGAGGACCCCTTCGGGGGCCCTTCTCTCCCCCCCCCGTGCAGGTCACCCGCCGTGACCTCTGCCCACCGATCGCCACCGTTTCGGCATGCCCCTCCCCAGAGCCGCGACGTCGCGCCTTTTTTTGCAACGTCGACCCCCAGAGGTCTGGACCCCTTCCCCGGGACCGGTCTTTCGTCCTGAGTCGTTTTTTGACGGCCTCGAGGCCCGGCGAGGGCCCCCGGAGGCCGAAAACACAGAACAAAACCTCCCCGTCGCGTTTTCTTCACAGCGCGAGGGGGTCTGGGGGCCCGCAGCCCTCTCGGACCCTCTCTTGCGGTGAGCCGCCGTGCCCGTGCTCTCTCTGCGCGTGCGCGTGCGCGCCCGCAGCCTTTTGGCTCCAGCCGGCCTGGGGCGCGGGCCGGGCGGGGGGGCCGGCGACATCCTCCTCCCCATTTTGTCGGAAGAGGAACACGTAGCCATACAGCTACCCTTCCCTCGTTTTCCCCTTGTTGGGCCTCCTGGAAGGCTCTCGTCGCCACCTCTGCATTCGCCTCGACATTCTGGTCAGAACGCACCCCGGAAGAGGTCCGGGGAGTAGCGGCATCGGTACATGTTGGTCTTCCCAGGGCGGGGGCGGAGCCTGGGTCGGCGACCTCCTCCTCCCATTTCTTCCTCCCTCCTCCCATTCCTCTCCTGCCTCGTCTTCCTCCTTCCTCCCTTGCCCCTCCCTTCTCCCCGCGTTCCTCCTTGCTCCTCTCTAACTCCCTCCTTCCTCTCTCTCCTCCTCGTCCCCATGCTAGCAGAGCACCTGGCCTTGGCTCTGCCCCCTTAGACAGTTCTGGGCCGCGCGCGGACGCGTGGCTCATGGATGGCGGACTCCGCCTCGTTGGCGCTCCGATCGCCCTCGGTGCCGCTCCCTGAAGCCCAGCTGGCGCCATGGCCGCCACGGACATCGGGGAAGGTAGACACGCTCTGCTCCCATCGTACTTGAGGGCCACGTCCCAGAAATAGGTTCGAGCACCCAGAAAGTGTGCAAACGGTGTCGAACGAGTGTCGCATCCCAGGGCCCGATACGTGAAAACCTTCGAGTTCTGGTACTTTCTTGGTGCTCGAACTTGTTTCTGGTGATCAGAGCTAAAGTACGTTGGCACATCATAAGACATGCTGGTGTCCATGCCCTTGCCTCGTCTGCGCCCTGTTGGGTTCCCTGGGCGACCCTGGTTGTTATGGTTGGACTCGCCGCTGTGTCCTGGTCAGGCTGCACCCTGTGAGAATACGTCCAGGGATCCTGCCGTCTTTTTTGCCCCCACCAGGACGATGACAAACCCAAGATCATTGTTAAGGAGACGGTCCAGGAGCGTTTCAACAACTACCAGGTGGACGCGGTGCACTTCACAGCTCTGGACAGCGACGAGATTGCTCGATACGCGCGCGCGGAAGTCTTGAATACGCAGCTGTACGACGGATCTGGCAAGCCACATGCGCTGGGTCCTCTCGACCAGCGGATGGGTAGCTCCTCGAAGAACGGCTACTGCGCAACGTGCGGTTTGGATAGAGAGCAGTGCGTCGGCCACTTTGGGCACGTCCGCCTCGCGTTGCCTGTGTATCACGTCGGCTTCGTTAGGCAGGTACTGAACATCCTCAGGAGTCTCTGCAAGTCCTGCGGCCGCATCTTGTTGGCCGAGAACGATCAAGCCGGATTCCTAGTTAAATTGCGGCGCATGGACGAGGGAGACATGCAGAGGCCGAAGCTGCACAGGCTGATCTCTGAGACCTGCAAGAAGGTCCACAAGTGCCCGCACTGCGAGGCCTACAACGCCGACGTGAGGAAACCCAACTCTGGTGCTCCACTGATGTTCAAGCACGCCCTCGGCCCGAGCAGGACGACCCCGGAGGAGGTCAGCAGGGAATTCATGGATTCATTCGGGGACGCTGCCGAGAGCAACAAGGATATGAAGGGGCATCTCGCGAAGGCTGCGGAGGACATTACCCCCCTGACGGCGCATCACCTTCTCAGGAAGATGTCGACGCGCGAGCGTGAGCTGCTCGGCATAGTCCAGCCCGAGCGCCTCGTTTTGACGGCTCTGCCGGTGCCCCCCGTTTGCATCCGACCTTCGGTGGCCATGGGCGACAAGGGCTTCAGAGAGGACGACCTGACAGCTGCCGTGAAGGACATCGTCGAGGCGAACAGCAATCTGCAGGAGAAGCTTGACCGGGGCGGTCAGCTCAGCCAGGTGGCCGAGGCCTGGCAGTGGTTGCAAGAGAAGGTTGCCACATACATCAACTCCGAGACCTCGGGTCTGAAGTTGCCCAAGGCTTCTCATCCGATCAGATCCATCTGCTCGCGGCTGAAGGGGAAGGAGGGCCGCTTTCGCGGCTATTTGAATGGAAAGCGTGTGGACTTCTCTGGGCGCACGGTCATATCGCCCGACCCGAATGTCAGCGTGGAGGAGGTAGTGGTGCCCGAATGGGTCGCCAAGAGGATGACGTTCCCTGAGAAGGTCTGCGCGGCGAACATAGAGCGCCTCAGGGAGGCCATCCGGCATGGGCCCGAGGAGCACCCTGGCGCGAGCTTCGTCCGCTTCGAGGACGGCCGCGGGAAGTTCCTCGGAGCCCTTAGAAAGAATTTCCGGCGTCAGCTGGCGGATCGCCTGCAGTACGGCGCCACAGTGGACCGCCACATGCGGAATGGCGACATCGTGCTCTTCAATCGCCAGCCCTCGTTGCACAGATTGTCGATCATGGCCCACAGGGCGAAGGTCATGCCAGGGCGCACGCTGCGTTTCAATGAGTGCGTGTGCGCCCCCTACAACGCCGACTTCGACGGGGACGAGATGAACTTGCACCTGCCGCAGACTGAGGAGGCCCGCGCAGAGGCCATCCATTTGATGGGCGTTCGGGATGGGCTGGTCACCCCGAAGAGCGGGGAGGTGGTCATCTGCGCGACCCAGGATTTTCTCACGGGTGCCTTTCTGCTGACGCAGAAGAATGTGTTTCTGTCCCGGGACAAGTTCTGCCAGCTGGCATGCGTCCTGACAGATGGTACCGAGCCCGTGGAGCTGCCGCCCCCTGCGATCCTGAAGCCTTGCGAGCTGTGGACAGGCAAGCAGCTGTTCAATGTGATGCTCCGCCCGAACCGGCAGTCGGGCGTCATCGCCAACGTGGAGGTCGAGGAGTCCAACTACAGCAAGCAAGGAGGGTCCTTCTGCGTGAATGACGGTTACGTGGTCATCCGCAACTCCGAGCTGATCTCCGGCAATTGCGGTGGCAAGACGCTCAAGGGCTCGAAGCAGGGTTTGTATTTTCGTCTCATCCGGGACAATGGTGCCGCTTCTGCAATCGCGTGCATGAACCGGCTCGCAAAACTCGCCAGCAAGTTCTTGATGAATCGTGGGTTCACAATTGGCATTGATGATGTAAATGCCGAATACACTGGAGGGACAGTGAAGAAGTTCGTGTCCAACGTTCCAGACGAGAAGCGGCGAATTATCAAGGACAAGTACAGGGTGGTGTCTGGTTTGATCGAGAAGTTCAAGCACGGCACATTAGAGCTGAAACCTGGATGCAACGCGGATCAAACCTTGGAAGCGATGGTCAACGGAGAATTAGGGCAAATCCGAAATTTCGTTGGGGACATGTGCAGGGAACAGCTCCACTTCATGAACAAGCCCCGAGTGATGGCACAGTGTGGCTCGAAAGGGAGCAATATCAATCTGTGCCAGATGATGGCATGCGTTGGTCAGCAGAACGTTGGAGGGAAGCGCATTCAGGATGGCTTTGTTCTCAGAACGTTGCCCCACTTCAAGAAGGGATCGAAGGAGCCAGAGGCCAGAGGTTTCGTCGAGAACTCTTTCTACAGCGGGCTCAGACCCCCTGAATTTTTCTTTCACGCGATGGGCGGTCGCGAGGGCTTGGTGGACACCTCCGTAAAGACTGCGTCGACCGGGTATTTGCAGCGCTGCTTGATCAAGGCCCTGGAGGACTTGTCGTTGAAGTATGATATGACTGTTCGAACATCTGGCGGCCAAGTCGTGCAGTTCGCCTTCGGGGACGACGGCCTGAATCCGGCAAAGATGGAGGGCTCGAGCAGACCGCTCAACTTCAGCAACATCATCAAGCACGTCATGGCCGTCCTTCGTCCAGCACGCGCAGCGACGGCACCCTCTGGCCCGAAGCGGAGACGGTGCGGCGGGGCGCCCTCGGAGGAGTCGTGGCCGCTGCTGCCAGAGGAGCTCCTGAGCCTCGCGGGGCCGTGCGCGGAGAGATTCTGCGCGGAGGTGAAGGCCGCCCACAGCAGCATCTCTGACCTCTCGCACATGGCCGAGAGCCTCGCCGAGTTCATCCGCGAAGATTTGGCGGGGGGCGTGGCGAAGAGGCGAGTGGACCTCGGGCTGGAGCCCGGGGACACGCCCGCGTCTGCCGCCGCGGCGAAGAAGGCAGCGACCGCCGCGGAGGCGCTGGCTCTCGCGGATACCGGCTGCTGCCCGACGCGCGCACAGCTGGACATCTTCGTAGACCGCTGCACCAGCAAGTACATCCAGGCCATGCTGATGCCCGGCGAGGCCGTCGGGGTCGTGGCGGCGCAGTCGATCGGGGAGCCCGCGACGCAGATGACGCTGAAGACGTTCCACTTCGCCGGAGTGGCGAGCATGAACGTCACCCTCGGAGTGCCCCGGATCAAGGAGATCCTGAACGCCACCAAGAAGGTGTCGACGCCCATCATCACGTGTGTGCTGCAGGACGAATACAGGGAGGAGAGCGCGCGCATCGTGAAGGGCCGTATAGAGAAGATACCGCTGAAGGACATCTGCAAATACTTCAAGGAGGTCTACGATCCTGGGGCTGGATGCTACATCGCCGTGAAAATTGACACCGACATCATCAGGAAGCTGCAGCTGGAGCTGAACCCAGAGAAAATCAGGAAGGCTCTTCTTGACAAGAAAAACCTCAAGGGAATAAAGCTGGAGGCAGAAGACATCGAGGTATTTGGAGAGCACAGCGACAAGCTGAGGGTCCGACCTCGCTTGAAGGACGACGAGAAGAGGAAGAACTTGTATTTCTTCTCGCTGCAGGCCCTCAAGGCCGCGCTGCCCGACGCGGTGGTTGGCGGTGTTCGGTCGACTCGGCGAGCCGTGATCAACAAGGACGACAGCAGGAAAGACAAAGGGGTCCGCTACAACATACTGGTGGAGGGCGAGGGCTTGCAGCGTGTCATGAACACTCCCGGAGTCGTGCCCTCACAGACCACCTCCAACCACGTGATGGAGGTTGAGCGGGTCCTGGGAATCGAGGCGGCCCGCTACACCATCATCAAGGAGATCGACTACACCATGCGCGAGCACGGCATCTCGGTAGACGCCAGGCATATACAGATGCTGGGCGACTGCATGACCTACCGGGGGGCGGTGTTCGGCATCAACTTCTACGGCATCAGTAAGATGTGCTCCTCCGTCCTCACGAGGGCCTCCTTCGAGCGGACGACCGACACCATCTTCGACGCTGCGATTCATCAGCAAGTGGACCCGGTGAAGGCTGTCAGTGAATGCGTCATCTTGGGGTCGACGGTGAACTTGGGCACTGGGATGTTCAAGCTGCTGTATGACTTCGGAGGCAAGCTCACGCCGCTGGAGGCAGGCGCCCCCGGAAGTCGCAGCCTCAAGCGGAGCCTCCCCCCCGGCTCCAGCGGACCTGCGGGCTCCGCCGTGCCCGCCCCGCAGGCGGCGGCGCAGGTGGCCGCCCCGCACCCCCTCCTCAAGCGCTGGCGCGCCACCGGTGCTGCCTGTGCCGCCGGGGCCGCCAAGCAGAAGAGGGTCACGTTCGACTGCTGAGGGGGCCGCGGTCTCTGAGCGCGCGCGCGCGCCATGCCCTGCCTCGACCCCGCGCCAGCCGAGGTACTGGCGGGGCGGCCCTTTGAGGGGGCCGCGGGCTGGCGTGCGCCGCAGCTGCGAGGAGCCACACTGCCTCGGCCGCGGAGAGAACAGCTGCGGGGTCTGCCGGAGAGGAGAGGCGGACGCGTGGCCTCGCCGGCCGCCGTCGGTCGGGCGCGCGTGCCCTGCTCCCTGGAGCTCCTGCACTGCCCTGGCCTTCGGTAGCAAACTATGGGGAGCCCTGTCTGCCCCCGTAATTCCGTCCTCAGCGTCGGTCAGCGTCGATGAGCGCGTCTGGGAGTCGACGAGATAGCGCCGATCTGGCGTCGCCTGGCGTGGATTGGCTTCGACTCAGCGTCGACCAGCGTCGATTCGCAAGGGCCGACAAGATGGCATGGGATGCTCCCATGAGTTGCCATCGATCTGGCCTCGTGCCGCCCGCTCTGGGCCTCACAGCCCCGGCCCAGCCCGCTCTGGCCTCCTCCTCCTCCTCCGCCTCCGCCTCCGCCTCCGCCTCCGCCTCCGCCTCCTCCTCCTCGTCCTCCTCCTCGTCCTCGTCCTCGTCCTCCTCCTCCTTCTCCTCCTCCTCCTGCTTTCTCCTCCTCCTCCTCCTCCTCCTCCTTTCCCGCCTCCTCCTTGGCCTCTGCGAGCGCTCCCTGGCCCAGCGGGGGCGCGCGGGCGCCCGGTCTGCCGCCGCAGGCAGGGCTCGGTGCCCCGCGGCAGGCCCGGAGGCGCTGCACGTGGGCGCCGGCCGAAGCCTCAGGAGGGGGAAAAAACACACAGAGACACAATGAGTCGTCGATTCCCAGGGAAATATGGGAAAATATGGGAAGTGGGGGGGAAGACAAAAGCCCCGAAAATATGGGGAATGTTTTTATGTGTGTGTATTTATTTGTGTGTCCTGGGGCCCCTTGAGAAGCATGGGTCGGCGCTCGCAACGTTGTGATCGTTTGCTGCTTCGCTGTTTTGCCGATCGGCGCGGGCCCTCGTAGCCCCTTTCCCCCCCCCGTCACGGAGCAGATCTCGGCTGTCTGTGGCGCCTGTTTCGAGCCGGCGGAGCCTCCCCCATAGGACGCCCTGTTGCAGGCAGTCGTAGTTAGCAGAGGTTCGGAGCCAGACCCCCCCCTTCCGCTCAGTGTCGAAACGCCGAATCAGACAACGTTCACAATGTTTGGGGGCTGCTGCGGTTGGCGTTTTGGAGGGCTGGTCGCGGCCAGACTACGGAGCCTGGATGGGGCCCAAACAAAAAGTCGTGTTCCCCGTTCTGGCCCCTCGGGGCGCCGACGTCGAGCACGTGTTCCCGCGCGCGCGTGCCCCAGATACGGTTCTGACACTGCTTCCGGTTTTGCCCGGCCAGACGGGGAAAGCAGAGCTGAGGCGGACGTGAATCAGCCGCACGTGGAAGCCAGAGCGCTTAGGATCGCCTGAGAGCCGCCACTGGGTAATTCATGATTAACGCGAACTCTTGCACCATCCCATGTGGGAACCTCAGTGTCTCGGGCAATCAGGCTGCCTGCGGCAACCCATCGCTACTGCGCCAGCACAACGTCAATAACCCCTCCAAAAGGCTTCGCACAGGCTTGGTATAACCATCTTGGGGCAGTCTAAGAATCGGCTCCACGATGCTGAAGCGTGGCGCAGCCGTACAGAGGAGACCCATGCCAAAAAAAGCACCCTGCTTGCCTCCAGGGTGCCTTGGGTTTCTTCGCTTTCAATGGTTTTGCGATGGAAAACGTGACGTTCCCCCCCCCCCCAAATCAATGGACGTCCTGGGTCTCAGGGTTGGGTTTCTTGTGGGACGGTTTCTTGTGGTCGGGCCCCTACTGTAACGTTGCATGGTTGTTGCGTTGCGTGTGGCCGGCAGGCTTTTTTCGGCATGTTTTTGGGGCCTCTGCAGCACCTTTGGGGGGCCTCTTGGGGGCCTCGTGGGCGCATGTTGGGGGGGCTGCGGGGCTATCTCTGGCGCTAGGGTTCCACTGAGCTCTCGCCTCAAGGAGCGGCTGAATCAGTTTGGGGCCGCCTGAACGGGTCTCGGGACCGTCTTGGGACTCTCCTGATTGGGGCGCTTGCGGGCCGTCTTGGGGCGGTCTCGGAGCCGTCTTGGGGCCGTCTTGTGCCGTCTTGGGGTTCGGTGAAGCTTTCAGAAACGATCTTAGGCCGAACAGCGTCTGCAGAAGGCCGCATTGAGTTTGTATGTTTTTTCATTGTGTTGGGCCTCTTGGGGCCTCGCTGGAAGCTTCTCCGAGCGCCTCTTGGGGGCTGCTTGGGGCCTTTTGGGGACATCTTGTAGTCTGTTGCTATTTGGGCACTCTGCTGCAGTCTTGCGCAAAGTGTCGGCAGGGCCTTCCAAGGCCCTCTGCATCCTTACTGGGTGCGTCCTCATTGTACGGGTTGGCTGCAGGAGCCTGGGAAGTGTTGGTGCCATCCTGGATCCTGACCCCCACGTGTCCCCAGAGGAGGCCTCTGGCAGGAGGTCGCATGCGAACGCTACCCCACCTCCCCACAATTTGCAAGGGGGGAGGTGGGGTTCACTTCGTTCGGGACTTCCCGAGTGAAGTGACCCCCAACTCCCCCCTTAGAAGTCGTGGGGAGGTGGGTCAGGGTCCGCATGTGGCATCCTACCTCCTATCTGCAGGCACCTGGATGCTCCAAGAAGAGCTGCGAGCGTGCCTCGGGTAGAGGCTCGCAGCAGCGGGGGTGGGCATGTGAGCCTCCTCCTGGCCAGCCGCCAGGCAAAGCCTGCGGGAAGCAGCTCCGCCCCGGCGACTGGGTCTGCCCCGGCTGCCAGAACCACAACTACGCCAGCAGGGCGGGCGTTCCCGCGCCGCCCTTCCGGGGGACGAGGGACCGTCGGCCTGCGACGTCTCAGAGGGCATTCTGGGGTGGGGGGGGGCTCAGCGTCCAAAGCAGGACTCCTTGGGGGATGGGGAGCGATTGGGGCGGGCGAAGGTCGAGGTCGCCTTGGGGGGGAGGAGGAGAAGGAGGAGGAGGAGGAGGAGGAGGAGGAGGAGGAGGAGGAGGTGCTGCGGCTACGGCGGACAGACCGCCGCGGGGCCGCCAGTGCGCGAGGAGGAGGAGGAGGAGGAGGAGGAGGAGGAGGACCAGTTTAAACCCAAGAGACATCAACGATGTTGGAATGAACCCTCCCTCCAAGCTCCCTCTTCATAGGCCCCTGCAAGGGTTCATTTCCATTGAGGGAACTGCCTCGTTGGAAGACAACCGCTTGAAGACCCTGCAGCATGCTAAAACGTTGTTCTCGGGATCCCAACGCCACGGATCAACCTGACCGTTGCGTGTTGACGGTCCAGAACCGTGCCAGAACGCCATTCCTGGGACTTCGACACAGCGAATCCACGTAACTGGTGCGCCCGCGTAATCCGGAATCTTTTCAAAAAACCACTTGTGGTACGTTGATGATGCGAATCCGTGAAACTCTTGCAAATTGTTACAATGAATGTGCGCGGCGCTAGGGCGAGAGCCGCGAGAGCCACATATTGAAAGCCACCCGCCCTCAATCCGTGAAGCTCTTGTAATCTTTTACAACGAATGTGCGCCGCGCTAAGGCGAGAGCCGCATTTTGAAACGGAGCTGCCCTCAATCCGTGAAAATCTAGCAAATGTTTACAGCGAATGTGCGCCGCGCTAAGGCGAGAGCCACATTTTGAGAACCACCCGCTTTCAATCCGTGGAACTCTTGTACATGTTTGAAACGAGTGTGCGCCGCGCTAAGGCGAGAGCCACATTTTGAAAACCACCCGCCCTCAATTCCTTGAAGCTCTTGTAAAGATTTAAAGCGAGTGTGCGCCGCGCTAAGGCGAACGCCACATGTTGGAAACGACCCGCCTTCAATCCGTGAGTCCCTCACAGGTTTTTGAAACGAATGTGCGCTGCGCTAAGGCGAGAGCCACATTTTGCAAACGACCTGCCTCAATCCTTGAAAGCCTTGCAAATGTTTAAAGCGAATGTGTGCGCGCTAAGGCGAGAGCCACATTTTGAAAGCCACGCGCCCTCCATCTGTCAAGCTGTTGCCACTTGTTACGCTTCATAATCATAAATGGTGAGGAAGTCTTTGGCGAACCGCCCGACCAGCCCTAAGCATTGGCCTCGGGATGCGACAGGGAGAAGTTCCTTACAAGGACAAGGAATGGAGGAGCCGGAGGAGGAGGAGGAGGAGGAGGAGGAGGAGGAGAAGGGGGAGGAGGATGAGGGGGAGAAGGAGGAGGAGGAGGGGCTGGAGGAGGAGGAGGAGGAGGAGCGGGAGAAGGAGGAGCAGACGCAGGAGGAGGAAGAGGAGGAGAAGGAGGAGGAGGAGGGGGAGGCCCGTAGCCATTTTGGCTCAGAGGGGAGTGGAGAAGGAGGCTGATGTCCGAGGGTGCCTCTTGGGGCCTACTGGGGGCCTCTGTGAGCCCTCTTGTGGGCCTGCTGGCGGTCTCTGGGGCCACCTATGGGGAAAGAGCTCCGAATGTCAGTTCGATTTCCCCCGCTTGGACCTCTCTTGGGGCCTTTTGTTCCAGGCCCCCTTTTTTCGGGGCGTGCTATGACCGGACAGCCGGCTGGATTTAAGTCGGGCATGTCCTTCGACAGGAGGAGTATTCAAGAATAGTAACAAAAAGCGTCTGGTGACGCATTTTCGTGTTCTTTGGGCGATTTCTCTGACTATTCTTAATTGTTATTCGAAGATCCGCCTGTAGGAGGACATGCCCGACCTAAGACTGGATTTTAAAGCATCAAGCGTATCACATGTACTGATGATTTTTGCCTCGCAGGCGTGAGGGCCTCCAAGGCGGTCCAAGAGGTCTCCAGGACGGGCGCCGTGAACATCCTCAGGCCGTGTCGGAGGTGCGAGTTCCAGACCACGTGGCCGAAGCCTCTGCAACACCCCCGCGACGCAGCCCAGTTGCGCCTGGAGGGGCTCAGGTATTCGCAGAACTCGGGGGCGCGGGCCCTCAAGCAGCATATCTGATCGTGCATTGCATCGATCTAGAAGGGACCCAGGGGTACTCCACTTGGTGCCTCGCGGCGCGGTGGCGGATCTGTGAGGGATCCGAGTCTTGGGAGTACGGCGCGGGGCCATCGTAAATTACAAGGGTCGTTGCCCAAGGACCGCGGGTACTTTACATGTTTCTTTGGGATCGTGGCCTTGGGAGCGCGGATCCTTCGTAAATTATTGCGGGGTTTCGTACCCAGAGCGCAGGTACACTGTAGTGGACTAGGTATCGCGGCTCTCGGA